AATCAAGAGCTTGAAGAAGAGCCCACTGAAATGTGATATGGTGCAGTCTTCAAGTATTTGATGCGCAGTGTCATGAATGGAACTAGATGGTTTTCCGTGGTTCTAAATAGCAGGAGCCAGGCTTAGTGACAGAAATGACAAGAAAGAAAGTTTTGATTTAAGATTAAAAAGACATTTCTGGCAGTAAGACCTACTGAGCTATGGAATGATCTGTCCTCCACTACACGTTTTTAAGATTAGATGGCTGGCTGTCAGAGATGCTTTAATTTTGGATTTTCTGTATCAACAGGAAGTTAGACAATGATAGCATTCGGGGTTCTCTTTCACCTTCACATTGCTATGATTCTTTGATCAACAGTTCAACATGAAGTGTTCACCCCATTCTGTCTCTCAGACTTCATCCAAAGCCAGGTGCCACCTGGTGCCTCACCACCACAGATGGCCAATGAGGCTCCACCATCCACTTAAGTCCAGGCACTGTCTCCTTAATTCCCTTACTGTGTTGCCTATGCCTTTTAGGGATCTGAGCCTCAGGATACCTAGCAACCATAATCTACAGCCCAGGAACTTAAAGCAAAAGCACTTACATATTGTCCTTAGCATGCTGTCAAGTAGGAATGAACAAAATGTTGTCCATCAGATGCAACTTCAAGTATTTCCATTATTTAGGGAAATGTTAACATGCAGGCTTGGATTCAGATCCTCTTTCCTCCATAAGAATATTGCCAGCAGCCATAGAATTTAATAGGATTTGTCTTGTTACATGCCACCAAATTTGTGAAAGATCACACACTTTGTTCTGCCTGGACATTCACCAGACCTTTGAAGTACTAGTTGGAGACAATGAATTATTGTACAGTAATTATTTACACCCAATAACCAAAAGTAACCTAATTGCATCATGACTATGATTCAGTAAGGCATTATTTTCTGTAGTGTACTGACCCTACGATTATACTTTTCTGTGTGTCCATATTTATTTTCATGCTGTGTTACATACATTTTGTACTGTAGGCCAGTGGCTTGCAGCAACCAGATGCATTTTAAGTAATTGTGCACTCTTTTAGTTGTTTCTGAGAAACAAGAGACCAACTAATTACTTTGAAAAACAACCACATGAACAGATGACTTTGGGGAACACTGCAATTACACCTTAACTACCTGCTTTTTAGAAGTACTGTAGCTCGTTGAACTCTGCCCTACAATCTCCTTCTCAGGGTTTTGTTTTGTTTTTTAATGCTGGGTCAAGATGTATAAATAAGCACCACCACAGAAGAGCTGGTAAATGTAGAAAATCTTCTTATTCCTGTGTTGTATGTTTTCCACATAGATACACCTTTTTAAAAAGACTAAGCTGTAATAAAACATTTGATACAGAACCCGAGTTAAGCAACAGAACGGACTCCAGCATAACTATGAGGCAGGGAAAAAAATGTGAACAGAACGTTTTCCAGTTTGTTTCTTATTTCTATCTTACCTTCTCCCCTGACATTGATCCTATGTATTCTGTTAGGAATAAGACATATGAATAAAATTCAGACAGAAAAAAAGGCATGTGGTCCTTGTATACAATGTAAGTGACACCTTTATTAGACCACTAAAACAATCACAAAAAAATGCGAGCTGCTGACCCATAAAGACCTTCATCAGACTGAGCAGGACTGTATTCTGGATGGTGCAGGAAAAAAAAGCATATGGAAGTTCTAAGTCAGATGGCAGATGTCAGCGACAAATCTCCTTCTTAAAAGGGCAAAGTTCGCTTTGTGTTTGCTGCAGGGTGTGCTGCTGAGGACCCTACATCGGTGCTGAAATCTGAAACTAGGAATTGCTGTCTGAGCAACAGAGATCTCCTGCCTTTTCTTAGGCAGAGAGTTCCCTGCTGGGGTGGGGAGTCCTTTTGCATGATGTGGTGCCTGAGGAGAGCTCTGTGCTTCTCCTAATAGATTTCAGCCCTAAAGTTCTTAAATAGTTTTCATGATGTGGTGCCTGAGGAGAGCTCTGTGATTCTCCTAAGAGATTTCAGCACTAATGTGTGTGTGTGCGCGCGCGTGTGTGTGTGTGTGTGTGTGTGTGTGTGTTTCAGTCATACGTTCACTATGAGGAAATACAAGAGACCAGACTTTTTTAATATACAGCCCCACAGTGGAGTCTTGGGCTCCAATTCTAGGTACATTTACCTGGGTGTAAGCCACACTGAACTAAGTGGGGTGTACTAAATGTAGATAGGAAAGACAGCCTTTGTGTGAAGGGTCATAATAGTCCAACAGATTTGTGATGGTGGATTTAAAATTTACAACTATCCCTTCAAAAGCACCAGATACATTTTTAGAACACCGAGCTTTAATCATTCTGTCCCACATCTGAGTTGTTAAGACATTTTTGAGATCTTAATTACTTTAGGCAACCCAGCATAGAGGGAGGTACAACCAGGTAGCAGGTACTTCTACCTGCCTAATCTCACAATCAGCTGAAAGCACAATTTTGTTCTTCCTTAGCTCCTCAACCCAGCAAGAGCTGTAGCTGCACTAAAAATATCGGGAGAGCTGGAGGGTTCTTTTTTCTGCTTGTACCTGCTAACCTCTGGCTCAGCCATGCCATTTACTCATGAAAGTGCAGAGTTTGAGACTGTTTTGAGTAAAGGAGGGAACAATGCAGTAAAATGTTAAAAAAAAGAAATAGCATTCACAGGAGCCTGCTGTTTCAGCCATCCTTTATATTTGGTAGGATATTATCAATAGCAGGTAACAAGTGGTATCTGTTGCTACAGCAACAGCAAGTTTTCCTCATAATACCAGACTAGATGCAGCTATTTAAAAGAACAATAAAAACTGTTAGTTGATCTCTGATTTCCTTTTCTCTCATACTCACTTAGCACATGTGTCATAGAAGGGGAGCCTTCTATGACACTAATGTGTTCTTTTTATACTTCACAGCTAGCAGCTATGATCCTCTACTTGCACAGCTTTAAACATTTCAGCTGGTAGGTTCAATTCAAGTTCAGTTCAATTAATCAATCACCAATAGTTGCAACCAAGGAGTAATGCCAATTGTTTGTCCCAGCTACAAACAGACCTGTTCCATTAATGGGACTTTCAGTAAGTCAACAATTATGTAAGCTCTGTTGATTCAAGCAGTTTATTCTAGCTGAGCCTAATCACTGGATTTAGCCCAATGTTAGGCTGCCAAGTAGCCAAGCATTTATTTAGCAATAAGTGGAATTCAAAAACACATAACCCCAGATTCTCAAAACAACATACTTTAAAATATTTCTACAGAACACCACCTCCCAAAATACATTTTGTGTCTGATAGTTGGCAAAACATGTATCCATCTGCTAGAGCCATGCCTTTCTTCCCATTGTACACCTATCCTGATGAATCGATGAATCAATTTGTCAAATCATTTTTGCCTTTAAAACCCTCCAAATCAAGAATCAACACAGATCTGGAGAAAAGGACAATAAAGGAAGGAGAAGAATAAAGATAGAGAAAGAAGAGGATTACTGCAAGAGGTCCCGACTATGGTGGTGGGGAACCCAGTCAATTTGTATTTCGGTTTATGTATACAATGTAAGTGACACCTTTATTAGACCACTAAAACAATCACAAACAAATGCGTTCTGCTGACCCATAAAGACCTTCATCAGACTGAGCAGGACTGTATTCTGGATGGTGCAGGAAAAAAAGCATATGGAAGTTCTAAGTCAGATGGCAGATGTCAACGCCATCTGCCATCTGTGGGGAACACAGTCAATTTGTATTTTGGTTTATGTATTTTATGTTTATGTTATAGTTTAAGAAATTTTTTTAAAAACACACCCTAATAAACACCCTCCAAAGCACTTGGAGACACCAAAATCGCAGGAAAGCTTATTCTGACTCTTGGCAACTGGACTTCTTTCTTACTAGGTTGAAACATTTCGTTACTCATCCTAGTAAGGAAAAAGTCCAGTTGCTATGACTCAGCTTCCATATAACCTCACCTGGATGCCTGAGAACCTTCACAGTCTTCTTTTGACTCTCTTCTACAAGTCCTGAAAGTTTGGTGAAGTATGGGTTTCAGATGTCTGAGTTTACACCCACAAAGAGCCCCCCCCAGGAAAGTTCCCCCCAGGCACCTAGAGAAACCAAAAGTGCGAGAAAGCTTTCCCTGACTGCCACAAAGAGCCCCCCCCAGGAAAGTTTCCGCCAGGCACCTAGAGAAACCAAAAGTGCAAGAAAGCTTTCCCTGACTCTCCGTTACAATCCCTCCAAGTTTGTTGAAGATTGGGTTTCAGACATCCAAGTTATATACCCACAAAGTGGGTCTCCATGGGAAAGTACCCTTTTGTAGCTGGCTTGGGGAAACCCAGTTTTCACCAAACTTGGAGGGATTGTAGAGGAAAGTCAAGGAAAGCTTCTCTGTGATTTTGGTGTCTCTAGGTGTCCATGAGGAACTTTCCTGGGGGGCGGCTCTGTAATTTTGGTGTCTCTAGGTGCCCATGAGGAACTTTCCTGGGGGGGCATCTTTGTGGGTGTATAACTTGGACATCTGAAATCCAATCTTCACCAAACTTGGAGGGATTGTAGAAGAGAATCAGGGGAAGCTTCTTCATGCCCATATCTTAATTTCCACCACTACAACCTTTCTAAAAAAAACAGCAACAACAACAAACAGTTTGCTCTGATGCCAAGTCACTTTCCAGTCCCACCAATTGAAGTGTGTATGTATCCATTGTGGAAGTGGGCATGTTCCTAATGGTGCACGGTTTCATATGTGTATGTCCAGCAGGATTTTCCCTGAATTGCCTCATGCAGAACAGGCCTTCATCCCCAAGGAAATATGAAATATGGCTAGGTAATGACCAAATGACTGAACCCCATTGAGGGAAAACCATGGGGAAAGTAAATGTGAAGTATCAAAAAAAAAAAAAAGAGGGGGCACTGGTAGAGACAATAAGACTAAATTATGGATACAGGAAAGGACTTCAGATATTGAGAATAACTGTTTGGTGCATTGGCTTGGTTTTTAGCAAAATGTTTATTATCTACAACTAGAGAATATAACCTTTTTTCTCTGGGAAGCAGGATGTTTGCTATCATTGGACACTGATTTAAAATGTTATGTCATTTTGCCATCCACACCTCCATAGAGGGAGCAATAGAAATGTTCTTCAGTCTATAACTTTGCTTGGAGCCCAAATTCAGCATCCCTGAGGCTCTGTGAAAGCTGGAGACCTTTGCATACTTCTTCACTGCCAGTCCGTGCCTCCAAGGGCTGAGAAAGTTTAGACAATGCCTTCACTACGTTTGCTCCGCCACACTACCAGTGCCGTCATGAGCAGAGTGACAAAAATGGGTATCACAATGAATGGACACAAAATGGTATTTGGGGGGTCTCTCAACAACCTTCCCGAGGCAGGGCAGTTTTTGAAGTACTGCTTGTGAATTGCTATGAAGAACTCATCCACTAGTCGGTTTGGCCAGTAACATTTCAGGTTTCCAGCTATCAGGAACGTACAATTAGTCAGCTCTCCATACCAGCTGAAAAAGAGAAAAAGATACTTGTTAGAAGTGTGTCTGTGGACACAGACATTGAGGGCAACTTCACACATTATACAGGAGGCAAAGCCTCAACTGCTGCTGACCATACATTGTACGCTCATCAGAGCTACAGCCAATCACAGCTTTTTGATTGGTGTGCCTCTATGACGCATAAACATTGTGCATGACATACAACATATGCCCTGCACATTATTAAGAAATGACCCATGTGAAGTGGCCTTCTAAGTAATTCAGTAACAAAACCAAATAAGGCTACGTATACCTTCAAGGTGCAGAACACTCAGAACTTGCACCAGTTCCTTGTCCTGAATGTGTCAGACATCCAGTAGGACTATTAGAACTGAATGGTGGGCCCCATAGGGCCTAGTTAGACACACACACACGGCCCTTTTAGGCAAATATTTGACGGCCCTGTCTTCAGTGATCCTTACTGGGTTCTCAGAATGACAGTAGCTTTTCTAACTGAGGAAAAGAACAAATGCAGAAAGCAGTAACAAACAAATGGACAAACACTTTAATGCACACAGTGGAAGCTATGTAAAACTATAAGGAAGTTAAGAGTTATTTATCTTTCTGGCTTCAACAAAAAGATAGGTGTCAATTCCATCCTCAGGTATCATATACCTCCTGCTGTGCTGCTGTGATCTCTTAGAATGTCTTGGAAGTGCTCAACAATGACCAGTCTTTGATTCTCAGCTTTGAGGTCCACAGGCAACTAACAAGCTCTGTAAAATGGCCTTACACTGTAACTTTGCCAAAAGATTTGAATGACACTTGGCAACTGCTCAAAACCTTGCTTCTTATAAGAGATTATGTCCAACTTTTAAAATACAAACCTCTTTATTTTTCAATTTTTGTTTATTGGCATTGAAAAATGGATTGTAGCTTGTGGTAAGGACATGTAACATGCCACTTAATTTGATATACTTCCTGCCTTACATGCAAAAAGTTATACCTAGACCTTGAAAATAATCCTTGAGACAGGCATAAATTAAGGAACTGTTAGAATAAACTATTGCAATAGTTTAATCAAGCTATATGAACTTTCCACTTTTTAAAAAAATGATTTTGTAGCATAAACATAAAATTTAATAATAGACAGTTGGTTAAACACATTATTCTGTATGTTTATTCAGTTGCCAGATAAAATGTTCAATATGATTTAAAACAACATGGTATACAATCACTTTTTAAAAAAACTCTGGTTTATGAATGTTTGATACTGTGCTTCTATAACCATGATTTAAAATGCCAAGAAGTGGTGCAATATTGCTGCACAATATCGTGCCCGTGTTGCCAGCAGGAAAAAGGTTGCCAAGGTTTACATAGCAAAGGGCACCCTTAATGTTAACAACACCAATGCCAGCAGTCAAAATGGTCTATAAGATACCCTCTTGTTCTCACTACCACTCACACTTGTTGAAAAACAGCCCTGACAATTGCTTTGTGTTTGAATGAAATCAGAGTGGTTAACTGATGAGAAAAGCTTCTGGGATTTTCCCTAGTTTGGCGTTACTTTGTGAATGGCAGTGAGAACAAAAGAGTATCGTGTAAACCAGCCACTCTATAAAAAGGCCATATAACCCTCTGGGGGTCCTGGCACATTTGAAGTGAGCCACACACTGGAAACAATTCTTCACACACCACCTTATAAGGTTCATTGTGAGACTTATACAGTTCTGATACAGCCTATATTGTTTTCGTACTTTGTTTATGACCGGGGTGTGTGTGGCTGTTGAGATGGGCTGCTGCAGACTATCTAGACTGCTTCCATTAGTGTTGTCAGTGTTCTGGCTGCCCTTTGCAATGTAAAGCTTGTCATCTTTATTCCTGCTGGCAACATGGGGTTGTGCAGTAATATTGGACCATTTTCTGTCATTCTGAATCATGACTAGAAGCACAATATCCCACTTTCATAAACCAGAGTTTTTTTTTAAAGAATCGAATGTCCTTGCTTTTAAAATTACAATATCCCACTTTCATAAACCAGAGGTTATTTTAAAGAATCGAATGTCCTTGCTTTTTAAAATTGAAGGTTAAATATACATACACTACAGACAAATTTGAACAGAAACTATCCTCATGTATTAGAGGCTAGAGGATTCCAGAAGACGAGCTCATGAGCTGTACTATGGTTGCTGGGAGAGGTTGCAAGAACAGCTGAGATGTGGTTATAGTCCCTCTGTGACAAAATATTTTGAAGGGCTGTTTTTGGACTTAATGAAACAATGAAGCAAAGGTATGTGTAAGAGCAACACATACAATGAGAAACATACATACCCTTTAACCTCTCAGGTAAACTAACATTGCCACGACTGCTCTGCAGACTAGAAAGCTGTTTTCTAGTTTCCAAACCATTTCGTTTGGGTAGGCAAACTGAGAAAGAGAAGCTATACTGGACCAAGAGCTCTACAACATGTTGTGTGCATATTTTCCAAAATACGTCCCCTCACCATTTAAAATTTTTGAAAAGCACATACCCTTTAACCTCTCAGGTAAACTAACATTGCCACGACTGCTCTGCAGACTAGAAAGCTGTTTTCTAGTTTCCAAACCATTTCGTTTGGGTAGGCAAACTGAGAAAGAGAAGCTATACTGGACCAAGAGCTCTACAACATGTTGTGTGCATATTTTCCAAAATACGTCCCCTCACCATTTAAAATTTTTGAAAAGCGAAGAGTGTCACTGAAAACCAAGGTTAAAATAATCCATACTATGTAAAAGAAAGACATTGAAAAAAGACAAGAACAAAAATCAAGTAATTTGAAACATGGTGTAGGATAAGAGTCCTACAGATGCCACTAGATATGGACACAATCCTCCAGTTATGCGGTTTGTGCTCATTAGTCCTTCGAATGAAGGACTAATGAGTTCCCAGCCCCACCTCCTCTGGTTGGTGCCCATTCAGAGGCAGTGCCCTGAGGAGGCAAGGCAGGGAAGCCAGGCCACTACCCCTGAATAGGTGCCTGCCAGAGGAAGCAGGACTGGGAACTGCAGAACACCTGTTCGTCTGAAGGATGCCCATCTCTAGTTACCACAGATACAGATACCAAACAAAGGCAAAAAAGTGGGTGCTCAATCAAATCAAACCTGAAATCTCACTAGAACAAAAACAAGTCAACTGAGGCTACCATGTTAGGACTTCCTCTCCTATAATGAAAATACAGAACTGACCAGAAAAGACAATATTGCTGGGAAAAGTGCAGGAGGGCAGTAGGAAGAGAGGAAGTCCTAACATGAGGCAGATTGTCTCAATAAAAATGTTAGTTTGGAAGTCCTGAGCAGAACTTATTGGAAAATATAATGTTGCTCAGAAGTGATAGCAGTAGTAAGGGAGAACAGCCTAACATGAGTATCTGGAAGCTGAGTCATGGCAACTGGACTTCTTTCTTATTAGATTGAAACGTTTCACTACTCATCCAAGTAGCTCTTCTTTCTTTTTAGATTGAAACGTTTCACTACTCATCCAAGTAGCTTCTTCATTCTGAGGAGAGTGACACTCATTTGATGACCAAGATGTACTCATTTTGGACCAAGAAGATAGGTGATTAGAGAGAGGGGTCAGGGAGGCCATACATGTGTATATAGAAAAATCCCTCACTCAACAGGGGTGGAGACCTTAGATACAATCTGTCTCCTAATTATCATGCAGCCTGATGCAGCCTATATTGTTTTCATACTGTGTTTATGACCATGTGTGTGTGTTCATTCATTCATCCCAGAAAGATTAGGACCACACCCACAAGAAAGACCACTGTTAACGACTGTTAACGACCCATGACAATGGGTGGAGAAGGAATGCAGAAGTAGGATTTTCACTCACCCCCAGTCCTTCTTCCTTCTAATGAGCCTATTTAGACCAGGGGGAAGTGAAACCACCGTGGAGGATATATCAGAAGTCTCCTATCAGCTCTCTTCAGTATGAAGAAGCTACTTGGATTAGCAGTGAAGCATTTCAACCTAATAAGAAAGGAGTCCAATTGCCATGACTCATCTTCCAGATAACCTCACCTGGATCACTGAGAATCTTCACAGGTATAACCTAACATGAGATGTTAGTGGTTTGCAAAATCTAAGCAAAGCTGTTAGTGATAGTATATTTAGGAGGTCATTAACACATATAGTCACCACACAACAGAAGTGACTTGATGGCACATAACATCTTTGGGGTTATTTTATTTTATTTTATTTTATTTACAAGATTTTTTAGCCACGCCATTACCAGTGATCTCTGAGTGGCTAAAAAACCAGTTGTTTTTTTAATTACCAGACTATTGTATAGTGACAGGATAGATGGAATGGTTAAAACTAAGACCATCCCCAGCTAAGACCATCCCCTTTGAAGACTTGTGTCAGAAATCCAGAAAGAAGGTTGACTGAAAGCACCCAGGGCTGGGAGAAACACCACTGTTCTGAACATTTGAATATTAATTCCCTGGAGATACATGCAAAAGGTCCCTTTCTGGAGCACTGTCACTCCATTCCTTTCTTTAAAGCAAACCTGTTTTTTTTAATTCTTCAAAAAAATCTTATCTTGTTACTGTTCCTGCTACTTTCCACTGCCCTCCAAACATCTTCTTTCCCAGGCCATGAAGCTGCAACAATGTATCTAGTTTGGAACACTCTTGCTGGTAAGCCTTTTCCATGCATGCTCATTTTAAAACAAATTGGTTTCCCCCTTTTGAATGACCTTTTCCAAGAATCAATATTTCAGCCCCTGCAGACTGGATTCTTTCCAAACAAAAAATAAAAAACAAAAAACTGGTGGGACCAACCATTCTCTTTCAAGATAAGCAAGATTGGTATTTTCAGTTTATATGATCTGTTTTAAATATGGAGATGTTCAGAGTTGCCTATTTTTGAATGAGGGGAAACAGTTTTGCTATAATTTTTCAAAATCCCTTTGCTCAAACTTCCCCAAATATGGCACTGAGCAAGAGAAGAATGTCTAACAGCTGTGTCAAATTTAGTGCTGACCC